TTGACCTATAGAATTACGTCACATGTCAGGAAACAATAATATCTTTATATAATAGACAACCAATAATATTACAGTTATTTTTTAATCTTTTAAGTATAATAGACCATAAATCTGTATAATTCGTATCCTCGAATATGACATGGCTGACGGTTTTTATATGTACAAAAAAGTGGTGCAGAAAAAAATATTTTGACTTGAAACGCATTAGTTCGAATGTTTTTATTCGCTAGAATATTATAAGTTAATGTTACATTCACTTTGGTGTTACACAACTCTAATAGCCTTATTCCATATCTCACTCCAAAATGGAGTAAAAAATAGTTTTATTCTGAATATTGAGCAAATTTTTTCTTTTTAGTTATAACTCCATTTTAAAAAAAAAAATAGAGTAGAATTGGAGGAAAACACAACTCTAATTTGAAGTTACTTTAAAATGTAGTAAAATATAGAGTGATATATCAGAAATGCCTTAATTAGGTCAATATCTAAATATCAATATCTAAATATCACCCAATGTGAATAAGCTCACCTCTCAGTTTTTGTTTTTCTATTCAAATTGTTCATTCTAATCTCTTTACCTTTTATATCCGTAACCCAAAAGGCCAAAACCCTAAACTTAATTATATATCTTTGGATAGTTTTTATTTTACAATAAGTGTGTCCTCTACAATAATCTTTTTTCAGATCTTCTTATAGCATACAAAATTAATCTGAATAATCTTTGATACATCAGCTTCTGTATCTTTGGTAAATCTTCTGTTTCTAATACCATGCCTAATATATTTTCTGATTCAACTGAGTGCTAATAGAATTTGCATCTTCAGCATAATTGTTGATCCTTGAGATTACTAAGTGTATTTAAGAGATTTTATAGAAGATTAATGGATGAGTTTGAGGCGAGATTTCTATATAATGAAAGAGATTCAATTTGGACAAGGAAAAGAAGTTAGGTCGGGACCGTATGCAATATAATAAAGAGAGAATATTTAGAACTTCGAACTAAGTCTGAAGAGAGTTCAGCTCGGCGTTCTAAGCACTATTACAAAGAGCTTGGTCTACGAGATAGAGAGTTTTTATGTAGAGAGAGAATGTGTAATAAATTCCGGATCCACTCATAAATGATCTATGGGGAGTATTTATAGCAGAGGTTGGGTGACGAGTTTCCTCCAAACCAAGACGACGTGCCAACTTCAGCGTATCCCGCGGATATAGCATATTGAGCCACGCGTTTGAACCACTCCGCGGCGAGTGATGATGATCCTTCGCCAAGCTATTTGCGCAGATAGGCCACTGTAGACGAACTGCTTCTACACGTGTTAGCTTCTGCTCCGGACACTGTAGATTGGCGTCGTGATGATGATGATTTGGGCGGGGCCATGCTGACTGGACTCGTTGACTTTGGTTAGGATTCTGTTGACTTGATCCATGAGCCTTATTATTCAAGATGGGCCTAGCTAATTGGAGGTGCTAAGCCCACCTCCAACAATAGACCCCCCTTAGTTCGGGGTATAAGAGGTTGTCGAATGCGCCGAAGTAACGGTTTTGACTTTGCCCATCGCAGGTCGGTGATATGTCGAGGTTTAGGGCGAACTCTTCGCACTTTGGCACAGACGGGAAACAGACTAAGATTTCCCGCGGAAAACCTCGGGGCTCCCGCGTGTGATCGGCACGCAGGGACATGAAGTGATGTTTTTTGTTGCTTTTTATTTTTGCGCTTCTCGAGGATGCTATCGAAGCTGCGTCATCATTAGGGTTTTTCCAAGTGTCGATCGCTCTTGCTTTGATTGGATATTTCTCTTTCCTTCTCTATTTAAGTTCTCTTCTTCTTCTTTCTTCTCACTTTTGCTTTTGCGAGACAGAACTGAGAAAATTCTTCGCAACTTTTTATTCCTTCGATTCCATTTCTCGTTTTCTCGATCCTTTGCGCTTTGCAATGGCAGATATTCTCAAAGGGATTTCGGTCAAATCTCAAACCGAATCTGGTTCTCGTGAGGATTGCGGTAGGGTGCCCTCAGATAGCTCGTCGCCGGCCGCTAGTTCTGAGCATACGACCTCTCCTCATCGTGAGGAAGAAGATGAAGCAAAACAGACTCCCTACTCAGCTGGCTCCGCGGAGATGAGACCATCGATGTGATGAAAGAGATGCACGAGGGCGCTGGCGGTAGTCATTCAAGCGGTCGTGCCCTCGCACTCCGGATCCGCAATCAAGGGCACTACTGGCCGACCATGGTCAAGACGGCAACAAGTTCGCAGCCCGGTGCGAGAAGTGCCAGCACCACGGTCCTATGATACACTCCCCGACCGAGCTCCTCACACAGCATCACCGTCATACCCCTCCTTCTAGCGCCAATTGTTAATCTTTGAGATCACTAAGTGTATTTAAGAGATTTTATAGAATATTAATGGATGAGTTTGGGGCAAGATTTCCGTACAATGAAAAAGATTCGATTTGGACGAGGAAAAAAAGTCAGGTCGGGACCGTATGCAATATGATAAAGAGAGAATATTTAGAACTTCGAACTAAGTCTGAAGAGGGTTCAGCTCGGCGTTCTAAGCACTATTACAAAGAGCTCGGTCTGAGAGATAGAGAGTTTTTATGTAGAGAGAGAGTGTAATAAATTTTGGATCCGTTCATAAATGATCTATGGGGAGTATTTATAGCGGGGGTTAGGTGACGAGTTTCCTTCAAACCGGGACGACGTGGCAGGTTCAGCGCATCCCGCGGGTATGGCATCTCGAGCCGTGCGTTTGAACCATTCCGCGGCGAGTGATGATGCTTCTTCGCCGAACTATTTGCGCATATAGGCCACTGTAGACGAACTGCTTCTACACGTGTCAAATTCTGCTCGGTTCCGCACACTGTAGATCGGCGTCGTGATGATGACAATTTGGGCAGAGCCATGCTGACTAGACTCATTAACTTTGGTTAGGTTCTGTTAACCTAATTCATAAACCTTATTATTCAAGATGGGTTTAGTTAAATAGGAGTGCTAAATCCACCTCCAACAATAATTATATGTTTATAGGTGTTGTCACATTTTCATTCAAAATTGAAAGTTTTGATCTCGCAATGGAATTTGTTATTTCATAGCCAATAAGAGTTAATTACATTGAAACAAACGGTGCAGTCCTAATCGGAAGCTCTTGAATAATAGCTAGGTTTTTGGAATGTAAATTAATAGGTTTAAATATGATATTAAAATAAAAAATCTAATATTACAGAAACCTTAAAAAAAAAATATTACACAATTTTTTTTGGTACCTAAAAAAGGGGAAAAAATTATACACAAAAGAAAGTTAATGTTTTGCGTGTTTATATAAGTTGGATTGACAAATTATTTGTGTTGTGGGCAAACAATCTAACTGGAATTGATGGCTGGACTTTAGATCCTCCTATTTAGTTTTGAAAGCTGCACGAAACCCATATCTTGTTTTTTTTTTCATTTCTTTTGTACAATAATTCAATTCTTTTTTTCTTATCGAAATGTTTGTATGAGACAAAGTAACAGGAAACATACGCATCTCCAATATTTAACAGAAAACATATGCACCTCCCATATTTAACACTTAACAGATCCAAAACCTGTTAACTTTTTCATCATAATCAATATTTAGATATTAGGCTTTTCAAAATTATATATAAGTGTCTTTTTAGGGGAAAATGTTTAGACATGTACATGTTTACATTCAAGAAAAATATTTAAGGAGACAGAATACTTTACATGCATGTTTGCATTTTATGTTTTAAAAAAAGCTTGCATTTTATGTGTTACAAATGTTGTAGATGAATATGAATTTCCAATTCGAAAGTCATTAATAATGAGTGGTTATGTTAGGTTTATTCTCATTTGGTATATTTGATTTCTAATGTGTTATTTTTTTCATTACTCATGACTAAAAAATAGAGCAAAAACAGATCTAAATATGTTTATTATATCTTTTATGATCAAAATCTGATTAGTTAATATAATATAAGTAAAATCGTTTATCGTAATCGTGGGTTTTAGTAGAACGGGTAACATTATTTTTTGTAAAATTATCTTTCTAGTAGTTCTCATAATTTCTATTAGTGTATAAAAAAGTCTAATTGATTAATATGAGTTTACAAATACATGTGTATAAATGTCTACACACAATTAATGTGGTTGTTTTTTTTTGTTACAGATATTCTTTTTGCATTTCTATGTTGATAGTCATTATCATTATTAGGAGATATTTATATTTCTGATTGCTTCACTCATGGATTTATGATTGCTTCAGTCACAGATTTATGATTGCTTCAGTCACGGGTCTATTTATGTATATTGTATATTTGATATTAACTCATTTGTAATACCCTAGCTCAACTCTCTCGATGTATATATTCCCTCTCTTTGTGAAATAAGAATCATCACTTCCACAAACATCTTTATGGTATCAAGAGCCACCGATCATTAGATCTAAATTTTTTTTTCTAAACATTCTTTTTTCTCTTTCGTTCCCATTCAAACAATCATGTCATCCACCGACACTACTTCATCCACACCAGTGAATAAAACCATCACTCTCAACAACCAAACACTTCTCACAATCAACATGTCCAGCGTTTCCAAACTAACTGCCACCAATTACCTCATGTGGAAGATCCAGGTTCAGGCTTTGCTTGATGGTTACGGCCTAGCTGGTTATCTCGACGGTTCCACCGCTGCTCCTCCCGCCACTCTCACTCTTGCCGGCGTTGTCACTGTGAATCAAGCATACACACTGTGGCGGCGTCAAGATCAACTGATTTTCAGTTCCCTCATTGGTGCTATCTCCGGCTCCATTCAATCTCTTGTTTCTCGTGCGACCACCTCCTCCGAGATCTGGACCACGCTAGCTGAAACCTACCCCGAACCGAACAGGGTCATATCAAACAATTGAAGACTCAATTGAAACACTGAAAGAAATAACACAAAACCATTGACGTCTACCTTCGAAGTATCACCACACGTCTCGATCAACTTGCCATTCTGGGCAAAGCTGTTGAACATGAAGATCAGATCGATCTTATCCTTGATGGACTGCTTGATGAGTACAAAACGATTGTCGATCAGATCAAAGGCCGAGACGTCTCACCGACACTCATTGAACTCCACGAGCGACTGCTCAACCATGAAGCCAAAATTCTTATGACGATGGACACTACGCTTCCTAATGTCCCCGTCACCGCCAATGTCATCCAACAACGCCACACCGGCAACAATTCCAAGAATCAGAATTGTTCTCGCTACAACAACAACGACACCAATAACTGGCACCACTCGCAACAATACACCAAAACTGACTCTCGGGGACCACGACCGTATCTTGGTCGATGTCGATATATGGAGTTCAGGGTCACAGTGCAAAACATTGCCCCCAGCTTCAAGCTTTTCAATCCATGACCCAACAGCAGCCACCGAGTCCTTTCACACCATGGCAGCCTCGAGCAAATCTTGCTATCAACTCTTAGTACTCTGCCAACAATTGGCTTCTCGACAGCGGAGCCACTCATCATATGACCTCTGACCTCAACAACTTAGCCCTGCACCAGCCATACCATGGTGGCAACGATGTGATCATTTCAGACGGTTCATCTCTTCCAATCACAAATACGGGTTTCACATCCTTCCCTACCAAAGCTCGTGATTTATATGTACAGAAAGTTTTATATGTTTCTAATCTACATAAAAACTTAATCTCTGTATATCGGCTGTGTTACACTAACTGTGTTTCTGTGGAATTCTTTTCTACATCCTTTCAGGTGAAGGATCTCAGCACGGGGGTCCTGTTACTCCGCGGTAGGACTAAAAATTAACTGTATGAGTGACCGCTAATGACGTCTCAACCTACTGCTATGTTTGCAGCACCATCATCTCCGACGTCTCTCTCCTCTTGTCACCCTTCCTCTTCAATTTTAAACACCATCATTTCCCATTTTTCTCTTCCTGTTTCAAATAAAATGCAACACACTATGTCTTGCTTAGATTGCTTCATCAATAAAAGCCATAAAATTCCCTTTGCTCAATCTACTATTACCTCTTCAAGACCCCTAGAATATATATATTCCGATGTATGGAGTTCTCGTATTCTATCACTTGACAATTTCAAATATTATGTCATCTTAATTGATCATTTTACCCGATACACCTGGTTATACCCACTCAAGCAAAAATCACAAGTCAAAGACACATTCATTGCGTTCAAAACTCTGGTGGAAAACAAGTTTCAACACAAAATTGGGAGTTTTTATTCAGATAATGGAGGAGAGTTCATAGCCTTGAGAGCATACCTTTCTTCCCATGGCATCTCTCATCTGACGTCGCCACCACATACTCCCGAACATAATAGGCTCTCAGAAAGAAAGCATCACCATATTGTGGAGACTGGACTCACACTTCTCTCTAAGGCCTCGGTTCCAAAGGTGTATTGGTCTTATGCATTTGCTACTGCCGTTTATCTGATTAATCGCTTACCTACGCTGGTTCTTCAACTGCAGTCATCTTTTCAGAAACTGTTCGGTGTTTCTCCCAACTATGACAAATTAAGAGTCTTCGGATCCACGTGCTATCCATGGTTGCGACCATATAACCGCCATAAACTTGAAGATCGATCACTCTGCTGTGTTTTCCTAGGATATTCGACCAGCCAGAGTGCTTACTATTGCTTTCACATTCCGACAGGCCACATATACACCTCCAGGCATGTACAATTCGATGAGAATCTTTTCTCGTTTGCCTCTTCTTCACCAAATTTGCTTCGTGAAGTCGATAAAACAGTTCCTAGAACGGGAAATTGGTTGCCTCACATGATGATTCCACACACTCATACGGTTCCGCCGCCAATACCCCCCCCCCCCCACTGAGATTTTTCACCACGTACCGCTGTCACCTGTCATACCACCGACCATTTCTGCGACATCTCAGGTATCTCCTCGACACTCTATTTCTCTTTCTTCTTCCCCTCACAATTCTGAGTCCACTGCTCCAATACAAAATGGGCCGCAACCCACGGCCCAGCAACTTTCCCCAAAGCCCACTGTTCTACTTGAAAATAGGCTGCAACCCACAGCCCAGAATACCCAAAACCCATCTATAGCCCAACAACCACAAATAGACCAACAAAATCCAAGCCCAACACGAAATGACAACCCCACCAGACCTAACCCAACCCGACAACGATCCCAAACCCAGAAACAAAATCACAATCTTCGAACAAACAACAATCCCACTCCATCTCCAAATCCCGACACCTCCACCATAAATCATCACCCAATGTCTACTCGTGCCAAAGCTGGAATCTCCAAACCAAACACCAAATATCTCCTCACCACTGTTACAAAATCCACACTGGATCCTGAGCCCCGAACAGCCATTCAAGCTCTTAAAGACCCGCGGTGGCGTAATGCCATGGGATCTGAATACAATGCTCAAGTTGTTAACCGTAATTGGGATTTTGTACCACCTCCCCACCGAATGTCACCGTCGTAGGTTGCCGCTGGATATTCACGAAAAAATACAACTCTAATGGTATTCTGAACCTCTACAAAGCACGCTTGGTTGCCAAATGGTATAATCAGCGACCCGAACTTGATTATACGGAGACGTTCGGTCCTGTCATTAAGTCCACTACTGTTCATATCGTTCTTGGAGTTGTCGTCGATCATTCATGGACAATACATCAACTAGATGTTAACAATGCATTTTTGTAAGGCACATTAACGGATGAAGTCTATATGTTCCAACCTACCGGTTTTGTTGATCAAGATAGACCCCACTATGTATGTCGTCTTCAGAAAGCAATTTATGGCCTCAAACAAGCACCAAGGGCTTGGTATGTGGAGCTACGTACTTATCTTCTTTCCGTGGGTTTTGTCAATTCCATTTCCAATACATCATTGTTTATTCTGCGCAAAGGAAGCTCCATTCTCTATATGCTAGTCTACGTTGATGACATTTTAGTAACTGGCAATGATAGTATTCTTCTCCAACAAATGCTTGATGCCCTGTCCAAACGATTCTCCATCAAAGACCCTGAAGATTTACACTATTTCTCAGGCATTGAGGCTAAGCGCGTCAAATCTGGACTTCAACTGAATCAAAGGAAATACATCACGGATATATTGGCGAGGATAAACATGCTATCAGCAAAACCGGTCACAACACCTATGGCTGCATCTCCGAAGCTCTCTCTTCACTCGGGCACTCGTTTCTCTGACCCAACCGAATACAGAGGTATTGTAGGAAGCCTGCAATATTTAGCTTTCACACGACCGGATTTGTCTTACGCTGTCAACAGACTGTCCCAGTTTATGTATGCCCCGACCACTGATCATTGGCAAGCCGTGAAACGAGTTCTCCGATATTTAGCAGGTACTTCTGATTATGGCATTTTTCTTAAGAAAGACAACAATACCGCACTTCATGCCTACTCCGATGCAAACTGGGCTGGTGACAAAGATGATTATGTCTCCACAAATGGTTACATAGTTTATTTAGGTACTCATCCCTTATCCTGGTCCTCAAAGAAGCAGAATGGCATTGCCCATTCATCTACGGAGGCTGAATATAGGTCAGTGGCGAACACAGCATCAGAACTCAAATGGATATGCTCCTTGCTTGGAGAACTTGGCATACATCTCTCACAACCGCCGGCGATTTACTGTATCAATGTCGGCACTACATATCTATGTGTTAACCCCATCTTCCATTCCAGAATGAAACACATTTTTTTAGACTACCATTTCATACGGAATAAAGTTCAAACAGAAGCTCTTCGGGTTGTCCATGTCTCCATTTATGATCAACTGGCTGACACACTAACCAAACCACTCTTCCGCTCTGCATTTCACAATCTCACAGGCAAGAGTGTAATTACAAAGGTCCCTCCATCTTGAGGGGGCGTATTAGAAGATATTCATATCTCTGGTTGCTTCACTCACAGATCTATGATTACTTCAGTCACAGATCTATTTATGTATACTGTATATTTGATATTAACTCAATACTTGTAATATCCTAGCTCAACTCTCTCGATGTATATATTTCCTTTCTCTGTGAAATTAGAATCATCATTTCCACAAAACATCTTTAGTCATGTCACTTTGGATTGCTCACTTGGACCAATGAAAAGACACATAAACATAGCAAATATGGACTTTTTGTCAACATTTCAGAAGTTCCTTTAAAAATTATCAGTAAATGAATGAGACACTTTGTTTCACCATTCTTTTGAAATCAATCTACATATATCTGAATTTTAGGAGTAGGCACGTACGAGAGTACGTGTAGAACAAATTATTCTAAACATTTGGATATCTGAAAGAATATTTCGAAATTACAATTAATCTTTTCAGTCGAAATTTTGATTTTAAGAACTATTCAATATTTTACTAACCATAAACATAAATTTAATCAAATTTGCTCGAAATATGCTAACTATTTAGAGCTCCTACTCGTGGCTTTCCAGTTTCAGTATATATTTGATATGTTGATCTAACTAAATATCAATTTTAGGAATTGATTTGCTCTATTCGATGGTCTATCTCTGAAAACATATAAAATCAGTTTTTTTATATATTGTAGTTACAATCCGGTTTTGTCCACCTTTTTATGAAGTTAATACTGTCATTACTATTACTTTGATGCATACACATGTAATAAACAACAAGAAAACTATAGCCCTTTGTTTTTAAAATATCACAACTAACAAGTTTAATAATGCTCCCAAACCTAATGATAATAATGTTGCAGTCGCATAAAGAATAATTAAAGAAGCTTTTGGACGATACGGCGCTGCCGCACTATGCGTTGACATTTTGTTCTCTTTTAGTTCATCGCTAACAATGATTGTTTGTGATTCTTGGTTTGCTCTTTCTAATGTTTATACGTAAAAGAAAATTTATTTCAATCTGCATAAATTATAAGAGATATTTACACCCAAAGGTACTTTTTACAACTCATATTACAGCAAAAAGTACTTCTTGCTATTAAGTGACTTTTCTTTGTTTTCAAAATTTTTTGGACTTTTTTGCCCCTCAATAAAACGAACACCCTAAAAATAAACTAAAATTGCCTTATGTGTTCACGATAATGGTGGATGCAAACGAATGGATACTCGATTACATCCAGATT